TAAGTGCCTTCAGGAATCTGTTTTTATAAATGTGCAACTGGATAATAGACTGTTAATCATCGGATGCGTATACATTTACCCAAATTCCAATTCCGCATAAACTAATGCATTTCAAGGTCTGTTCCGTTGAGTAGCGGATCAGCCCGCCAAGTAACAAAGAATAGGTAAAGATTCCAAAATGGCTGACCTCTCGTGAACATTATGCGATGTGCCCACCAGGTATGTAAATTTGATTTCATCCTTATATACGTTCGGACTAACCCAGCATTTTACAACTCCTGCCAGAATGAATAACATATTAGGTCCGATATTTACCATTAACCTAATACCAGATTCCGCTGAAGTTCTGAAACACTTTCCTGGTAGTGACCACGAGTTTGTCTCCATTTTATTCACAAATAACGCCCCACTCTCAAAAACGAATGTGTACAAACCACAGATGCTCTCAAGGCACCCTGAATCAGTTGATTGGGACTCATTTACCCAGGCATGTTCAGCCGCAGCTGATGCTCCATATGACAACACCAATCTATGTCCCGAAGCACTGGCTCCTATCAAAAATATACGCTTGCTTTCAGGTCGCGAAATGGTTATTTCAAGAAAAACAGCTTCCAAACTAAGAGCAAAGTACGGCATACCGCAAAACGAATAGCTTCTCATTCTTGATGCAACACCGTAATTTGGAGACTTCGCGAAAGCTGGCTTATCACACAAAACAAATCGCTGATGAAAAACGGGATCTCTACAGTCGATTCAATAACCGTGAACTGATCGGTGTTTTAAATTGCAGAACTAGCAAGCGTATCCGAGGCACAATCTTAGTCGTGGCACCAGGTGGCTGCGGCATAACCATGATCAAACTAGCGTAATGATTCCCCAATATTTCTGCGCTTCCTTCAAAGTGGATACCGAACCCTATACATGGTCTTGTTATTAGTTACGGTCTATCAGCTCAGCTGAGCTTCACGATATACACAAAGTTATCAGGTGCACAAAACTATCATATTTCGGAGATACAGACAATATGCTCCCTGTAGTTGTGAAATTGGTCGGGGATAAGGGCACCCTGGTATTGTCGAATATTTTCAATCTATCCGTGAACACCGGCACCGTACTAGCTCAGTGGAAAGAAGCTATAGTCGTGCAGCAATATAAGTAGACTCGTTTTCTGAACTTAAAAATTAGCACTCAATAATTTAAACATTTAGGTTACCAAAAATTACGCAGCGACATACCAAAGCTAATATTGTCGAGTTCTTACTATCAAGAAAGCTAATATACAACTATCAACAATGGTTCTTAAATAATCCGTCATTCATTAAGTACCACCTGGAATTTCTACAATATATCTGTCTCGCATGATCTTGGTATGTCGGCTTCTCTAATTTAATTTGACACACGAAACCTTTGATCGGGTGCCTCGTGAAAATCAGATAGCTAATTCATTGCCCTACGGGATCGGTGCACCCCTGCTTTCGTGGTTCAAGTCATACCTTACAAATCGAAAGGCAGATAGTACAAATTCAAGAGTACAACTCTGAGCCTGTGACTAGTGGTGTCATAATAGAAATTGTCCTTTGGCCGTTGCTGTTTGTAATATATGCTAACGATATCTTTGACGCAGTGAAATTCGGTACACCATAACTGACTGCCGGTGACATTAAAGTCGTATACACTTTTCGTCCTGTTGACTCAAATGATGCTGTCAAGATGATCCAAGATGAAAACTATGCGTTGAAATCTGGTGCGCAAAGTGGAATATGTCAGTTTTTGCTGACAAATATTGTGTGATCTCCCACAAGTGTTTGCCTCTGTCATTCTTCACAAACTGACTGACACCCGTTAAAGTCAGATTCGTGAAGCCGGGTTTCGTCGAGGTCGAGGCTGCTTCGACCTTGTCTTGCGTCAGTTGCTGGAACACCATGTGCATTGGCGGCCCAGTGTTATCGTTTTCCTCGACATCAAAGGTTTCTTCGAGTCGGTTGATGGATGTGCTCTTTCGTACTGTCTACTCAGGAAAGGTGGACCCGAGAAATAAGTGAACATTATCCGAGCTTTATATGCGTGTTGATGGAGCAGAATGAGGGTTTATGGCAAGCTGCAGCCGCACTTCATTATCTTCAGCAGTGTAAAACAATGACGCCTGTTGTCGCCTTTCCTCTTTAGCTTCGCGTTCACAAGACACGACTCAGAAGGTGTGGAGCCGGTCTCAGGTGAATGAATTCTTAGCTTACGCTGACGATACTGCCCTCATTTGTGACAGCTACCAATTTCGGCAAACAACAATTGACAAATTAGCATTGGCTGTCAGCCGTTTCGGGCTTTGCTTCGCAACTTCAAGGTGTAAAGCCTTTCTCCATGATTGGTAAGTACCGCCTCCTGCACTGAACCTTGGTAGGGACCAGAGAGAACTCATTGAAAACTTCAACTACCTATGTAGTTGTATCAGCGCCGTTGGAGTTGAAGACGAGATCGCAAACCGTGCAGCAAAAGCCCGAGGCGCTTTTGCTAACCTACACCACCTATGGCGCCGGCTCGACATCAGTCACTCCTTGAAGGGTAAAGTGTACAATGCATCCGTACGTTCGACCCCACTGTCCGATTGTGAAAGCTTGTCCATTAGACCAGCGGACCAAAAGAGGCTATTTACGTTCGACCACCCGTGCCTTCGCAGTTTGTCTCATATATGGTGGTAACACCTCGTGAGCAAGGAGCGCGTTCGACGTCACGTTTATGGCACAGAAAGAAGTAAACTGCTTGGCACCGTTATATCATGCACTAGTCTCCAATGGTTGAGTCACGTGTTGCGCGCGCCAGCTCACCGACTTCAGCGACATGCGTTGTTTGTGCGCCAGGGGTGCGGATGGAAGAAGAGGAGAGGTGGCCAAGTGATGACTTGGTCGAGAAGAATGAAGGCCCTTACTTCGAAGTTGGCTTCAGTTGGAGCCGCGCGACTTCTTGGTTGGGGACCGAAAGAGGATGAATAAGTTTTCCTGGATATAGTTTTTACACTCCTAGGAGCCGACTTCAATGAGGTTTGAGTTATGTTTCTTTGTCCCTCCTCCTCCCGTTTAGCCACCACTTCCAACCATGACCTCAATTAGTTGGCGTACTTTGACACCTTCGCAGCACAACAGTAGGCTGTTATCTCTACAGGACGATGTCTATAGGTCACTGGTTATTCAGCCTGCGTGCCTGGGGGTTGCGGTTTGTTTTTTCTTCCTCTTTCCTTACGTAATGCACAGCACAATAGCTGGGGTGCATTTGCACCTCTAGCCAACCTGTGCAACTATGACGACACAAGTGCGATTTGACTCATAGTGACCTGATTTTTGATGACAAACCACCTAACGTCTGCTCTCTAGTGAGAAATTTTAGACTACGATATTCATGCTCACGTGTCCCGTGAACAATTAGGATATCCCACCGCTAGACTAAGACGGATAATTTAATTGGTATCTGGCATGAGTAAATACCTCATCCTTATAAATCAGCTGTTTGACCCACGTTGGAATACGGTTGCATGGTGTATAGCAGCTTAAAAAGACACGACCGTATGGGAATAAAATAAGAACAGGGAGCGTTCACAAAACGCCTCCTAAGTCCTCCAGCGAAGTTGGAATATTCTGAACGATGTGATAAGCTCAAGCTTGATTCGCTCTGGCTACGGCAAAGGAAGCATAACTTAGTTATATTCTTTAAAATCTTGCACGGAAATATTCATGTTCCTAACCTCAACTTGTAATTAATGCAGTCAGCAGTCTACAACACACGAAACAAACGGAGCTCAGTGGCGGCATGTCAGTCCAGGACCAGCAGGTCTGCCAAGATTTTCCTCAAAAGGTATGCTCGAGTCTGGACCAAAGTACCACTGCGCTCATACCTACCGGTACTCTGGAACACGAATTTCGAAAAGACGAAAGCAAGTTCTTGTCTGTACAGAACGTGATCAAACTATTTGATTGATCCATAACAACAAGCCAAACGTACTAGCAGTGTCTAGGTTTCCCATGACCTAGTGCACGTTTTACCATGATACTGCATGCCGCCGTTTAGCTGATCTATGTGTGAGAGAGTGATTAAAAGCTTGCCGACACCATTTTAATCCAGTCAAGTATTTCTTATCTATCCGTTGTCTTTCCAATCTTCCTTAGCTGATCCGTTATGCGAATTGTCTGATTCACCTGTGAGCAACGTTCCATAAAGTATGCGCTTACTCCATCATGCCGATGTAGGTGTGTATCATCTCGTTGAGAATAAGAGTTAATGTAGTATTTACTTATATATTTGTGTGAGTTGCTGCGCCTTTCATTACCACATATTGATGTGGTAATGTACCTAAACCGATGCGATTGCGTCGAAAGATATTTTCCCTTATTGTACCAAGCACAATTGCCTGCATTTTCGTCGGCAGTATTAAGGCTTACTCACATCTCCTGGAAGAATAAGTTTGTGGAGATTAGACAGACTTCATGAAAAGTTAAAACCACGTTGGACAAGTCATTCATTTCTTCAGTGTCTACGAGTAGGATGGTTGCACCACTTATGTAAACCGGTTGTTGAGTTTAAATATAGCTACAGATTCAAGGAACGTCATTAGTTCTTCCAGGCAATGAAGTCTGTTCCATCTAATAATTAGGTAACTTTCCCCTGGACTATTACCAGCAGGTGATGACTCTTCTTTGCACTGCACAGTGACAGCCAGTTGGACACCGTTAAAAACAATGGAGCAATCCGCTTAATGGCTACTGCTATGAGGCTGAATGTATCACGTGCAAGCTGTTGACCTTTCCTACCGTGGATTTTCAGGGTCTGAAGAAAAGCTTGTTTCATTAACAACCTCGTTAATAGTTGGCTGCATAGTTTAGCGTCACTGTTTATTTTAGTTGCTGATAGGCTTTTTCACGGAAGACTCTAAACGGATATGGACCAGGAAACTGAGAATAGAGGCTTGCTCAAGAATGACACCAAAGCTAGCTATTCATCTTGGTGGTACTTACTCCAAATGTCAAATTCGTTTCACTCCACCGTTGTGTCCATCCCAACCTCTTCGTAGTCTTTTTCCAGGGCGATTAGGTCCTCCTTTGTTTCGATAAAATCATTCTCTTCCATCCCTTCGGCAACATACCAGTGCACGAAGGCACGCTTGTTGTACATACAATCAAATTTGTGATTTAGTCGGGTCCATGCTTCAGCGATGGAGGTGGAATTACTAATCATGCACACAGCTCGACTGACCTTGGCCAAATCCCCAGCAGGCACTGCTATTGGGGGTTGAGAATTCAGACCCATTTTAAAACCAGTGGGGCACCAGTCAACAAAACGGATCGTTCGCTGCTTTCGTATGTATCGAACTGAGTCGGCCAAGTCGTTGGCTGAAAAGTTACCTCGGTAGAGCAGACAACATGCCATGTACTTTCCATGTCTTGGGTTACAAGTGACCATGAGAGCCTGCGGTCGGAAGCACCTGGCAGTTAGTCTAATGGCACTGATCTCCCGGTGGAATAGCTGCGAGGCCGGCAACAGCGGAGCATAGGATGCCAGCGGGAAGTGAATTCGGGGGTAGGGGACCAAGTTTGTTTGGAACTCGGGCAGGTTGACATTCAGGCCACCAGGGAAACGGAGAGATGCCGTAATGGAACTAACAACTTGACCAATTAGTCGGTTAAGGTTTGTAAGTCCAGGCTTGATTAGGTCGAGATTAGCCCTGAAGTTAGAAATGGTACAACATACTCATAGATCAAAGTGCTAAAAAGCACAAAGGAATAATCTAAAACGTCCAGCGTATGGAGCAGGTGATGTACCTCGATAAAATGTGACCACACGGTTGACTTTGACAAGGCTTTCAAGGTCACTAAAATAAGCAACGATACACCAACAATGTTGGTTTTTATTTGGTGTTGTTTGTGCATAAGATTAATTTCACAGGACAAGACCTTAAAACAAAGTATAGCTGTTGCAACAGTTCTATGCGTTAAAACTTGCTTTGAGCATATTTATGGGCAGGTGTTAAGCAACCATGCGAACGCGCGCTTCAAATACTATATAAGACACCTGGAGTAAATAGAATATACTTTCGAATACGTTTGAAACAATGGTGGACCGGTTTGGTTGATTAACTGTTAATCGGTTCGCCAAGCTTGGTAGAATAGTCGCACACGTTTCGCCAACATGCGAGGTAGCACCGTCAGTGCGGTGATGCGCAGCTTACAACCTTGCATGTTCAATTGTCCATCCGAGATCGACGGACAGGCGACTTTTGAAAGTGTCAGCTTCGATTTGCTTTTCGCAATCTTCACCCATCCAAATTCGCCGGAGATATTACCCACTGAACAGTTGGTACACGGGGTCAACCTCAATGCGAGTTTTGATCGAATTGTTAGATGCAAAACATACTGCTTGGAATTCTCTTCCATTTTTCCGTTTTTTTCTGCGTTGTTCCAGCTGAAACCATGCCCATCCCTATCCACATGCCGTGAGACGAGAGAAGATGCATAATGTTTTGGCATATCCTCCATTGTTCATGCATCCTTACTGATAATTTTCCTCCTGTCCATCCCACATAATTCAGTTCACTATTTTTCTTATTTATTTTATACACGAGTTTGATTCGTTGTTGTGCTTTACGGTTTTCTTTTGGGTTTGACGGTGTACTTTCAAAGTGGCGGTTGGTTTGCGAGCAACCATGATCTGGTGTTGTTTGAGTAATCTAGCCGTCATTTGCTTTATGTACGGCACACCGACCCGCTTGCTTGACCTTGGCATCGGCTCGGTGTTTGTAGGTCTGTGGTTTAAGCATCGACGGATGAAACGGCTTGGGTGTCCATTGCGCTCAAGCGAATCGGATATGTGCTTCTCTTCATGTTTCACTTCTACAGTGCTGCAACCTTTTTCAAGTTGGTGAAATAGCTTCCGCACGCGGCTTATTTTGTGTCACTTTGAGTGGTTGCTGTTGAAGCCGGAAATTTGGCTCTTGCGTGCACCTTTCCTATGAACGGATGTTAGGAATTCACTGTCATCTGTTGTGGGCAATTATACGTCCAAGAATGGGAGCTTGTTTTCTGTCTCTTCCTCCATTGTGACATCTCTGAAGTATAGAAGATGAAGTTTTGCCGCGAAAGAGAATGAAAATATATCACGAAGTGCAAAACGAAGATGACACGTTTAAAAGGTACCTGCCCGTCGATAACGGATGGACGAGTAAGATATCTTTGTCGATGCTATCTCGCATAGTGACGAAACGTATGCACACCTGTTGTCAAGCTATGCGAATCGATCAACGAGTGAGCAAGCAACCCGGTCTAGCAGTGTTATTTAAATTATTTCAAATACTTACAGGCACTCAGCCCTCCGGTCTGCTCGCCGGTGGGAGGGTTTCGCTTGTCAACAGGCCTTTATACCGTAGTTTGCGAAGAGATGCTCTCACACGGAGTGTCAAATACAGGCCGACGTTAAATCATCCCCAAGCCAGGGCCGTTGCACGTCAGTTCGCAGAACGCATAGTACGAATAATGATCACCGACACACAATCATATCAAGAATGTAATAAATGTCTAATGAAGCACAAGCCACTTATTTGCAAACTGTGGGACAACGACTGACAGAACAACTACGTCTGACAATAGAATGTTGAATAAATAACCCAGGAATGAAGAAGCAGGCCACGATTCATGGGATGATGTCAAAGTTGACCATCTAGAAATACAGAAATGACAGCGATTCCTGGGATAGCAACCTTTCTAACCAACCACCAAGTGAGACAGAGCAAGAAATACACATCAAAGGATTGAAGTAAAATGTCAAAAACGCGACGAGCACAGAGTTTCTGGCCGGGATTCGAAAACGCTCTTCGATCAAATGGAGTTGATGAGGAGGTTCAGGAGCAAACCTTACGCACCATCCTCCCTGCCATGACACACATGTAGTACAATTCCCTATCTCGACAAGAACAAGAAACGAGGAAGGCCCAGAGTGTCGACTGATTCAGTATTTATCCTTCCTACCGAAGAAGGACGTAGGATAGTCATACTGGATTATATTGCGAAAGAAAAGCGAATTATAAATGATACAACAACATACCGGCGCATTAAATGCGATCCGACAACGCAGCTAGCAAACTGAATAAACAGAACATTACATGAACTCCAGCGGCTGAGCGAAAGCACAGAAATAGAAAGGTGTAAAATGAGAGCCAATGAATCAAACATCGTACAAATCTTCGGACTTCCAAAAGTGTACAAAGTGGGTGCTCTGATGCGACTACTTGTTTCACTTCCAGGCACATCTCCTACAACCAAGCAAAGCAACACTCCGTACACAATGCTATGCAATTTCTAGAGAAAGTCAAAAACATGCAAATGCATCCTGACGAAGCGCACCTGGAGAAAGAAATCATCATAGAACGCCTGAACAATAGGAGAGGAAATGGGGTGTAGGACAACCGCAAGCATTTGCCAGGTTCTTCAACTATACCTCACGCATTATATTACTTTCAACAGAGAGATATAAGAGAAAGTGAATTAGGCACCTTTGGGATCCCAGTATCAGGAATGATGTCTGAGATCGTCTCGCCAAACCTGGAAGATCTACGGTCAACCAGTGACCTAAAATTGTGAGTCAGCTATGTCTACAACAAATTTGTAATATGCAAACGCTGGTGGCAGAGCCCACTGGCATCAGTAATCGACTGATGGCTGTTCGCCTAAGACTCGGAAGTGGTAAGTTTGTCATTTTCGTCAGCACGTACGGTCCGACCATGTTATCCTGATGACATGCGTGATTACTTCTACATTCAATTATCCTCCGGGCTGAGGAGCGACCGACCGTTTCTGCTGGGTGATCTGAACGCGCATGGCGGGCGTGATGCCGCGTTGTGGACAGACCTCATCGGTTCACCCGATATTGTCATAGCTAATGGGAACCACAGGCCGACTGCCTTCACTGTGTGCCAACAGCGACCTGACGATCACGAACACTCAGTTTGCAGTGATGGCGAGTGACGTAGCAACACGAACGCACCCATGGAGTGGTCACGCTCACCTGCTCGACTAGATCATCGTACGTCGGCGTGACATGAGTGAAGTACGCATGACACAGGTACTGCGTGGAGCTGAGTGTGGCATTGACCACAAATGGGTGCGGAAAAGTACGTACTCTGTGTCTGCCGTGAACCGGTGTAAATTTAACATTTGCTCCCTCGTTACGGTGGAGAAACGTATTGAAGTGGAGAATGTGATGGCGACACGCCTGTGTGATGTGGAATGTATCGTCACAGTGGGCGCCCTGGGCATTGCATTCGCCATCAGGTGACAGCTGCTGCCGAGGAGATCATGGGGCGCACAAACTGTGAGCGGCCCGATTGGTTGGATGGGAACAATGCGAAGATTGGCGCAATGGGGTCGGAGTAGACCGCAGAATTTACTACACATGTGGCAGACCTGAATGACATGGGAAGGAAGAGTCATTTTCGCAAAATTCGATTACAACTGACTTGAGAGCTCCGTCGCATTGAAAACGTATGGTGGACGGATAAGACGAAGCGGATGGAATACTACATCGAAAGAAGCCAGCATAAGGAATTTTTCAATTACTTGAAGGCATTGTATCGACCGAGGTTGAAGCCGCTGAGGACGCTGCTCGATGCTACTTCAGGCGCTGCCTACGCACAGATTGCAGACATAATGCAGATCCGGCGAATTCACATTGACTGTCTCTTGAACAACCGTTCGGAGATTGACTGGTCCACATTGAACGGCCCGAGACAGCAAGAGGTGGTGAGTCAAGCGGACACACCGACACTGCGTGATGCGCAGAGAGCACTTGCTCAGCTGCAGAACGGCAAGTGTGCTCGCGCCAACGGGATCCCACCGGAACTACTAAAACAGTGGGACCCGCGTTGATACATCAGCTGCACCACGTTGTGCGACGCGTGTGAATGGATAAGGAATTGCCGGCTGCCCTGCAGTATATAAGAGGGAAAATGAAGCAAGTAATATTACACGAAATATCGTGGTATCAACTTGCTGAGTTGTGCGGGCCAGGTGATTGTCCGAATCCTGCTCAACCGCCTCATCAGCTGATGAACCGAACGTGGCGGAAGAGCAACGTGGATTCCGTTCGAGTCGCAGTACTATATATATCGTGTTTGCAGCTCCTCATTTGCAGCAAAAGTGCTTTGAAGGACAACAGTCGTTGTACTCGCTGTTTGTTGATTTCACCAAAGCATTTGATAGGGTTCACCGCAAGGCATTGTGGCTGGTATTGAGTACGTTTTTGTCCTACTATGTTTGTGAGTTTAATTGAATGTCAGCACAGTGGTATGCGGGCGAGCGTGCAGCTGAGTGGACATATCTGGGATGACTTTGCCGTTGTCTCTGGTGTGAAGCACCACTGTGCCTTATCCTCTTTCCTGTTTAATATTTATGTTCATGACATCATATCTTGTGCATTTGATGCTGCTTGTGTTTGCGGTGTTTGTGTTGATCGCCGTAGTGATGTTGGCTTGTTGAACATCCGCCGTTTCCGTGTAAGAACCCTAGCCTGTGAGACAACTATCTGTACATTGCTCTTCGCTGACGACTGTACGTTGTTTGCACACGGTGCGCATGATTTGAAGTACAAGACTGGTGTTCTGGCTTCAACAGCGGTCAAGTTCGGGCTCACCATCAATGCAAGCAAAACTGTCTGTCTCCTTCAACCTTCACCGGA